AATAACCAGGTCATATTAATATTGAAACATGAGATAAGTATCACTCAAACGATCGAAAATGCATTATAAATTTAGAAAAAGTGGCAATGTCCCTTGAGGGAGATTCTTTTAGCATCTCAAATTTAAATATGATAACCATTGATAACTCTCTTAATTGATGCTACATCGTATGATAAAGAAATAGAGAAGATGGTGCAATATCTGTACAAATACACTCTTAACCAAATACAACAGAAATGCTTGTGTCAGTTACAATCCTCATTTCTGCAACTGGTGAAGTGGCTTTAGCAGGTAACCACATCTGTTCCACAAGGACTGTTTATTTTGAGAAATAAGGACTCTGAGAATTATCTTATTTACTAAGGCCTTGGACAAATAAATACTTTTGGCTCATTCCCTGGCTAGGTCATAATATATAATCCCATTTATTTGACAGTATTTTCTGCCATGTGGTTAGTTACTGCTCCTCTGCTTCATGTGTCTGTCTTCTTCAGTGTCCTGAGACAGATCACCTGCTTTCCTGACTGATATTTATAACTACCTTCCTCTACTACCCATTCTACATTTCCTCTCTTTCAGCAAGTACCTCAGCAGGTCTTGTCTTTTTTCTTGGAGGAGTGACCTTACTGCCGTTCCTGAAGGGTCTGTGCCCTTTGTCATCCTGCCTGGATTAGGCTGTTGTAGATTCCCATTGACTTTAATCACAGGACACGGTAGTACTAAGAGAAGCCCTAAAGGATCTCCTGCACTTCAGACATGATCCTTCTTACCTCCATTTTGGAGAGGTAATCTAATTTCCCCTTGGTGATCTACATCACTCACACCTCCTAACACTGCCATCCCTTGCTTAGCCTGATGACAATGTCTAGACAGGAGAGTAAGGGTGGGACTTCAGGGCTGAGAGAGGTTCTCTGGGAGAAGAATCAGGCATAAGGATTCACCAGCATGATATGGGGAAGAACATGTACCAGGTCTGTGAGAGAGAGGTAAAGAACAGGTCATATAGGGGGACATAGACCAGTATTTGTCACGTTAGAACAGCTGAAAGTTGGCCAAGCTAAGCATCCAAGTTCTTATAAATAATAAGTCTCTGTATCTTTATTCATCCACTGGTAGGACACAGAAAGTTTCACTATTCATGACTCAGCCTTCCAGGCTGCTGTCATCTAAGGAGCACTAAAACTGTGTCTTCAGACAGTCACCCCATCTTTCTGTCAAGCCAAGTGCCTGAGGTTGGTGGGGACCATAGTAAGACCAGAGGACTCCAAGATTGTGGGCCCACTGTCACACTTCTCCTTCTGTGAATTGAGTTCCTTGGTCAGAATACCACGTGGAACTCTGTGTGGAATAGCATGATGGTGGATAAGGCATTCTGTAAGTTCCCTGATGGTGGTTTCAGCAGAAGCATCACATGCAGGAAAGGTCAATCCAATTCAGAATGAGAATCTACTCCAGTAAGTACCAAGTGTTTTCCTTTCCATAAGGACCTGGTTCATGTATTCAACCTGCCACCAGGTTGCTGGCTGGTCACCTTGCAGAATGATGGCACATCTGGGGCTCAGTGTTTCTCTCTGCTGTTGGCAGATCTGTGATTCAGCACCAGCTGTAGCCAGGTCAGCTTTGGGAAGTAAAAGTCCATATGATTGAGCCCATCCATAACCCCCATTTCTGGTGCCATGGCTGCTTTGTTCATGTGCCCACTGGATAACGACAGGGATGGCTGGTAAATAGAATGACTGTCCCCAGAACAGGTCACCCACCTACTTGATTATTAACTGTCTCTCTAGCAGATGTCACCTTTTGATGAGCATGTACATGGGACACAAATGTCTTCACACCCTTCCCCCATTTGGAGAGATCTATGCACATGTTTCTTCCCCAGATGATTCCAGTCATGCTCTTTCCAAGTCCCTGTCCATCCAGCCAATCCATTGGCCACAGCCCAGAATTAGAGAACAACCACACACCTGGCCATTTTACATTCCAAATAAAATATATTACCATGTGTATCGCCTGAATTTCCACCCACTGTCAAGAGATCCCTTCACAAGTATGTTTCAGGGTTGTCCAATAAAGAGGTTGTAATGCTGCAGCTGTCCACTTCTGGTGCCTGTACAACATGCAGAACCATCAGCAAGACAGGCCCTATCTCTTCTTCCTGAGTCTTCCAATAATAAGGCACACCTCATGAGGCTGTAGGTGCATTCTTGGCAGCAGATGACATTGTAACAGGAGTAGACACTGTAGACATTTAGGCAAAGTCTTCATGTAACTGCCTTTTCCCTATAGAACCTGTCCAGGCCCAATTTCTTATATACCTCCTTCATTTAATAATAAGTTAGTACTGTGTGTGTCCTATTTTATGATTTGGTGGGTCAAATAACATCCAACTCATTATGGGCAGCACAGACCACAAGGTAATTTGGTGGCCCATTGTCAAATGTTGAGTTTCTGAACAGGAAACTTAAGGATTTTTTGGAAAATCAATTCTGTTAAGTATCCCTGATGACCAACAGAAAGGGACTGCACACTCCAGAACAAGAACACAACCAGTGTAGCTTATAACTTTTGAAAGAAAATTAAAGTTTAAGCAGTGAAGGAAGCTATCAAAAGCAGCAGGGTGTTGAAAATATATTTGAATGAGGGGCAAATCTGCAGCTCCAGCAAGCAGCAGAACTTGGCAGCTTCAGCCACAGGGTTCTGGTGTCTTTACAGTCAAAAATACAAGATAAAGATTATAAAATCTCTTCTGTAGCTAAGAATTACCACTGAGGTCAGAGGCAAGGCAAGAGTGTCCCTTCGTGGAGGCCCAGAGAGACCTCTGTGCGAAAGTGAAACCTGGATTCCACTGGAGACCTCAAATGTTGGGGATGTCACAGTCACAGGACACCTCAGAAAGATAGGTGCTAAGAGGGAGCAGAACCAGCCCAAGAGAGAGAAATGTGTTGCAGTCAACAAAGCTGACAGGGGTTGGAGATCTGAAGAGTGCTTTGACATCAGATCATCACAGGCAAAGTGAATTTTATGGTGCCTTGACTCCCAAGGAACTTTGGTGTGGCTAATCAGTCATGGTGTTTCTATGCATGAAACACATAAGAAAATGTCTTAGTCAGTGTTGTACTGCTGTGAAGAGACCTCAGGAACATACCTACCTGGTAGGGTAGCCTATTGTGAACATTACGTTCTCTGTGCTTCACATTGTGGTAGTTATAAATACCCTGCCTTTAGCAATTGTGTGCTGCTACCTGGCCCCTGTGAAGAATTAAACCCACTGCATTTAATTCATCTGATTCATCAGCAGCATCTCCAGCCACAATATCTGGCACAAGGAAAAGGACAACGACAAAGCTCTTCCCATGTGCTGGTGCCCCTCTCAGCATTTTGTGTCTCATAGTATCAGTGAAGGGCATGTCTTCTGGGCTGTCCCATAGCAAAGATTTAGGCTGTATACAGCATAACCACTCTACTGTTGCAATTCCCCTGAGCCTTAAAATCCCTCTAGCAGCATAAAGCAAGAGATATTAGACTTCTTCAACTCATTCTCAGTATACCATCTTTTGATAGATGCTTCAGGCAACCATTCAAACAAACATTTGACAACTTTTTAAAACGTGAAATCTTCTATGTAAAATATAAAACCTCCAGATGGTGTTTCCATATCCAAAAACTCAGCCTGACCCAGATCTATGCTCCTTCCCACACTATCCCACATCCTCAAAATCCACCCCCACACATATTCCCCAGACTTCAGCTTAATGAATTAGCAAACTCGTCAAGCTCTTTACATGTGTGCACAGAAGTACAGGGCTCCTACTCATGGACTACACACTCTACCTCCCCTCCTGGAATGTAATTTGTCTGAAGTCTGGTTATAGGTATAGAGACAGGTAACACAGCCATTGAAAAACACTGGAGTTTGAGAAAGGACTGCTGGATTAGATCAGCATATGTATGTGAGAACCTCAGAATGGAAGGAAGGAAATGTGTTGAGTTCAGGGAGATGTTTTGCCTTTGTTTCAACAAGAGAAGGAAAGCTATGAATTCCTTCAAAATTAATAAAGATTAGATTTGACCATGGGAGACATCCTGAAAATCTTGGCTGCAAAAAGGAAGGAAGAAAACAAGTAGAACAACAAAACAATACATAACAAAACATGAATTCTCCTCCCTCTACTGAGAAACTTCTCAGAAAATGGCTGAGACATGAATGCCTCCAGCCAGGACTTCAGCTATTCATAGACAATAAATCTTGTTGGCTAAAGTCCACATGGCTTCTCAGGTCATCCTTTCCTATGTCATGGGTGGACATTTATATTGCAGCTTTGGTATATAGCATAAGCAGTTTTATAGAGATCATAGCACAAAACAGACTTGTAGAGATTAAACATACGTGTGTTAATGCAGAAATGCACGTTACCTATAAAAGTTTGTGTGTTTACTGACAAAGACAAGACACCAAAGAAGACAAGACAAATAGCCTGGACGATGCAACCTCAAACTGCCTCAATAGCTGTCTCCTTAAAATAATGCATCCAGAACAACCTCAGAACATCTAGTTAAAATCTTCCAGCCTCACAGACTGCTCCACCCAAGACTTCAGTTAAGCCCTGCACTTTCCCCTCACGCAGAGACTAGACTGCAAATGTTACAGCTGGCTTTCTTAGGACTGGAACATTATCCTAATTATCTTAGGTCCCCTGAAAGACATCATCATTCCCAGAAGTAGGAAAAAATTTTAAGAACACTAAGCCCTCATCCCCAAGAGTGGGGTGGTAGGTATTTGGTTGTTGAATGTGTGTAGAGTGTTTGTCATTGGGAAAGTAGTGGTGGTCACAAGATCTTAAAGGTCCTGGTGAGGGAGGAAACAAAGGAAAGTAGATTAGATTAGATTCAGGAATTTCTTTCTCTCTTTTTCTTTCTTCTGTCTTTCTTTCTCTACTATCTCATGTTAGGGTTGGAGCGGGAGAAGGTATGAAAAGAAAAAACGGGGTTTGTAGGCATGAATTTTTCCAACCTCCTTTAATAAATGTTCAACCTCTCCTTTTGCCCACCACCCAGAAGAGGTAGTGGAAAAGAAAAGTTATTAGGATATGGGGAAGTGGACCTGCTTTACAATAGTTCTTTGGGGTCAAGATCAATCTTCTTTGTCAGCATTCAGTCCCATAGCAAACAGCAAATACCAATCAACAGCTGCAGTCCAGTCTTCTTGATCAGCAGACCCCACACAGGTAACAGCAGCTTCAGTCCAGTCCTGCTGGAGGGCAGACACCATGCTTGACCCAGCAACTGTAGTTCAATCCTGAAGAAACTGTAAGGCTCACCAACCAAGAAGCCGCAGGAACCTCAGGAGCAATTCTTTGGAGAGTTTCTCTCAATGCTGGTGTTACCACAAGTGGATCTCAACAACTATGTAGTGCAAACCAATACATGCATGTCATTAGTGAAGAACAGCAAGGCAGAGCAAACCAAACCAAAGCTCAGTGCTCATCTCTGACTGTCTGTGGGGTCATATTTATACTCCTTCATCATAGGTCCTTTCACGTGTCTGCTGCATCAAAACATCCTTTCACCTGTGTCTGCTTCAGGAAAACATTCTTTCACATGTGTGCCCCAGCAAACCATCCCTTGATATAACTGACTTTCCAAAGAAACTAGAAGTTTCCACGTCAGGACTATAAAGGAATGATGGGATAAAAGAATAAATTGTTGACTCTGCTTTTAGACTAAAGAGCATGAACTACTAGTGTCACATATGTTACATTGGTTTGGATTTTTGTATATTGAGAAAATTAAAGCTTATGTTTTGCTACAACATACCGTATACATGCTACAACTCTTGTTTAGGGTATTATACCCATGTAACTCATTTTAAAATGTAATGTAAAGTTTTAATCCTTGAAAGAAACTATCGCAAACAGTTCAAGTTAATTAAGAAATGCAAGTGGATATTCAGTCAATCAAACTTATGGACATGTCAGATACTAGTTGTGTTAATTACAGAAATAAGCTTTCTTTAGGCTCTTGTAGATGTTTCGAAAGTTGACCCGATAGGAGATAGATAGAAACAGGAAACATTTGCCTATTCTGATGTACTATAGAGAGATAGGTGGTCTTTGAAAATCTCAGAGATCTACAGGAGGATATAGCATTGAAAATGTTTTATTAACATGAGAATTTCGGCTGCACCTGGCAGCACCCCCATTCTACTTCAGAGAGGATGATGGGTAGCGAAGAACCTCCATATGCAGAAGTCCCTGCCATCTCTACCTGTGGCTGTGATTTAAAGAGGTCAGGTCAATATCCACACAATCAAAAAATGTATAAATTTAATTTTTCTCCACACTACTGATCCCGGATGAAAACCCACATGCCAGGGTGCCCTTTCTGGCATGAGAATCATCTTTCTTCCAGTCTCCACACTGCACAGGCCTGAGGAACTGTGGGGCCAACTTGGTTATCTTGTCCCACAGAACTGTGACAATCATGTCCTTCACCTCATCAGCTCAGAAGTGTGAGTGAAGGTCAGAGAGGGAGTGACAGGGTAACAGATTTAATCCTTTCTGTCACACTATCATCACTAATCTGTGATATAATTGGTTACAGTTCCTCTCCTACTGTGATTGAGTCACTAAATCAACTGTACCATGGAAGTGGGGACGCAGGGCAAGTGCAGTGTGGACAGGGATCACTGCCTTGTCCTAAGTACTCTCCACAGGGGTCTCTTCCTAGTGGACAAGGGGTCTACTGTGCTGAGACAACGACCCGGGTCCACACAATCTGAGGACTTGGAATGAAGATCCTTGAAAAACACACTCACCTGGAGCCACAGACATTTCGTGTGAAGAACTGAGTCTTGGCCAAGGCTGAAACGACAGATCCTGAGGGAGGAGGCAAAGTCGCCTCTTTACAGATGAGAGTCCTTCACTCAGGCTTGGCAATGTGAGTCTCCAATGGCAGGCCAAGAGAGATTGGTCTCTATAAAGTCCATGTGGGGCTTGCAGGCCAGCGCCTCTGCTTTAAGGAGGAGCATCTCTCCACTGCATCCTCAACTGCTTGTGTCATCATTGTAGTCCCGGAAGTGGCTTTTCTTCTAGAAGAGTCCGGGGGTCTGACTTCTGAAGAGAAGAAGAGGAAGGGTGGAGGAGAGGAGACAGAGAGTCTGGCCTGTGGGTCTCTCCTCGTGTCCTGACAGCTTGTGGGTCAGAACTCGGAGACATCATGAGAAATAGCGCTCTGTCCGCAGCACAGGATTCAGCCAAAGTCTTAGTCTCCAGGCGGTGAGGTCAGGGGTGGGGAAGCCTAGGGCTGGGGATTCCCCATCTCCCCAGTTTGACTTCTGCTCCTAACCTGGGTCAGGACATTCTGCCTGGACACTGATGGTGCACGGGCAGGTCTCACCCCCATTGGGTGACGCGATCCTGGAGAACCAATGAGCGTTGCAGTGGGCATGGGTTATAGAGTCCAGGCAGCCCGCCGAACTCAGACTACCCAGGTCCCAGACATGATGGCACCGCGCACGCTGCTCCTGCTGCTGGCGGCCGCCCTGGCCCCGACCCAGACCCGCGCGGGTGAGTGCGGGGTCGGGAGGGAAACCGGGTCTGCAGGGAAGGACGGGGGCGGCACCGGGGAAGCCGCGTCCCCGCGTCGCCCACCGGACCCTCCGCCCCTTCTCCACCTGCGTCCCGAGCCCCGCGCCCTGCTCCCCTCCCATCCCACGCACCCGCCCGGGGTTCCGGGAGGAGGTCGGAGTCTCACCACACACCGCCCCCAGGCTCACACTCGCTGCGGTATTTCAACACTGCGGTGTCCCGGCCCGGCCTCGGGGAGCCCTGGTTTATCTCTGTCGGTTATGTGGACGACACGCAGTTCGTTCGCTTCGACAGTGATACGGAGAATCCGAGATACGAGCCACGCGTGCCGTGGGTGGAGCAGGAGGGGCCGGAGTATTGGGACGGGATCACACGGAAAACCAAGAATTTGGAGCAGTGGTTCCGAAGGAACCTGAGGACCCTGCTCAGCTACTACAACCAGAGTGAAGTCGGTGAGTGACCCCAGGTTGGAGGTCATGATCCCTACACATCCGACACAGGGGCCTGAGACGTCCTGGGTCCAGGACTCGGGGGCAGAACCGACCGGGGACCGGTTTCCCTTTCAGTTTGGAGAAGTCCGCGGGTGGGTGGGGCTGGGGCGGATGGGCGGGGCTGACCACGGGGTCCCGCAGGCTCTCACACACTCCAGCGGATGTACGGCTGTGACATTGGGTTGAATGGGAGTCTCCTCCACGGGTACCTGCAGTATGCCTACGACGGCCGCGATTACATCGCCCTGAACGAAGACCTGAAAACGTGGACGGCAGCGGACGTGGCAGCACAGATCACCAGACGCAAATGGGTGCAGACTGATGAAGCAGAGAGATACAGGGCCTACCTGGAGGGCACGTGCCTGAAGTGGCTCCGCAGATACCTGGAGCGCGGGAAGGAGACGCTGCTGCGCACAGGTGCAGGGCCACGGGCAGCTCCTCCCTCTGCCCTCGGGCTGGGGTTCAGTCCTGGGGAAGAAGAAACCCTCAGCTGGGGTGATGCCCCTGTCTCAGAGAAGAGAGAGTGTGTCCCTGGGTCTCCTGATCCTCATCACAGTGACTGCACTGACTCTCCCAGGGTTCAGCCTTCTCCCTGGACAGTTCCCAGTCTGTCTAGGGAAGGAAGGAAAGAATTTCTTGCTGTGAGCCATGGCCTCTCCCAGGCCTGGTTCTGTACCCACATCCATTGTCTGTGGACACTGACTCCTATCATGCTGAGTGTGTCAGCCCTTACACCTCAGGACCGGAAGTCTCCTTTACCTGATAGGAGACATGGAGTCCCTACACTAGGCTGGTTCCTTCAGTTTCTAGAACTTTCCAAAGAATACATTCTCACAGATACCTCCCTGTCTGTGGGGTTTGCATCTCTTTGACAACCCAACTCTATTTATTCCTACAATGGTGAATGGTCACATGAGCCCTTTTGGGGGTACCCTGGAGGAATATAAACTATGGAATTGCTCTCTCTCTCTCTTCTCTTCTCTTCTCTTCTCTTCTCTTCTCTTCTCTTCTCTTCTCTTCTCTTTTTTTCTTTTCTTTTTCTTATTTCTTACCTTCCTTTTTATTTACTTTTTTTTGAAGGCATTATTTTGCTTCTAGCCAGTTTTTGTCTGCACTGGAGTGATCCTGTTTCTCCATGCCCTTTCATTTGTATCAGTCTCCACAGACTGAATGATTACACAAGTTAATTCAGGGTTCTCATTAAAGGAGAGATTCTTGTGAGCTTAGACTGTTTCCTGTCAGAACTAAACATCCAGAAGCCTCCTGTTCTTCCTCTGCCCCCACAAGTTACAGTGCTCCCCCTAGTGAATCAGGAATTGGATTTTCTGAGAGACAGGGTCTTTTGCAATCCAGGGCTGGAGTGAGGGAAGATCCACACACCCTTTGAGCACACTGTGATCCAGGGAGAGGTGCACTGGGGTTCACAGCACACTTCTGAAATCCTGTGTAATAGACTTGTACCTTGTCACACTAGAGGCAGGTGCTGGGAGTCATTTTCTCTGGCTGAGTCTCAGACGTTGACCACATTTCTGCTACACACTTTGTGATGGCTGTTCACTAGGATTGACAGTTATGCTGGTCGGCAAGATGATCACGGTGGTTGAGTTTCAGTGGTGGCATCCTACCAGTAGCATATGGCTCTAATTTCTAATTTAGATGATTATTTATTTTTCATTCTATCTTCCATTCTTTCACTACCTGTCTCATGATATAAAACATTACATAAGGAAAACCATGTTGACACACTGGCTCATGTGGATTCCCTCTTAGCTTCTGAATCCCCCAGGAAAATGTACAGTTCTGTCCTGAGGGGACCAGCTCTACTTACTGGTCACTAGTGTGATGAAAGTTGAAGTGTTCAAACAGACACATAGTTCAGTGTCATCATTGATTTAGCTGTGTCTTGTGTAGATTTCAGTTTGTCTTGTTAATTGTGGGATTGCTTAAATCTTCCACACAGATCCCCCAAAGGCACATGTGACCCATCACCCCAGATCTGAAGGTGATGTCACCCTGAAGTGTTGGGCCCTGGGCTTCTACCCTGCTGACATCATTCTGACCTGGCAGTTGAATGGAGAGGAGCTGACCCAGGACATGGAGCTTGTGCAGACCAGGCCTTCAGGGGATGGAACCTTCCAGAAGTGGGCATCTGTGGTGGTTCCTCTTGGGAAGGAGCAGAATTACACTTGCCATGTGTACCATGAGGGGCTGTCTCAGCCACTCACCCTGAGATGGGGTAAGAAGTGTGTGGGTGCAGAGCTGGGGTCAGGGAAATCTGGAGCCTTCTGCAGACTCTGAGCTGGTCAGGGCTGAGAGCTGGGGTCATGACCCTCACCTTCATTTCCTGCTCCTGTTTTTTTCAGAGCCTCTTCCATCCACTGACTCTAACATGGTGATCATTACTGTTCTGGTTGTCCTTGGAGCTGTGGCCATCATTGGAGCTGTGGTGGCTTTTGTGATGAGAAGGAGAAATGCAGGTAAGAAAGGGCAGGGTCTGAGTTTTCTCTCAGCCTCCTTTTGAAGTGTGCTCTGCTCATTAATGGAAAATCCATCCACACCCTGCATTGCTACTGTCTCCAACTGGGTCTGCTGTCAGTTCTGGAAAATTCTAGTGTCAAGATCTTCCTTGGACTCTCACAGCTTTTCTTCTCACAGGTGGAAGAGGAAGGGACTATGCTCCAGCTCCTGGTTAGTGTGGGGGACAGGATTGTCCTAAGGCCATTGCAGTGAAGCTGGGGATGATGGGTGCTCTGGGAATCCATAATAGCTCCTCCAGAGAAACCTTCTGGGGCCCTCAGTTGTACCTTGATATGGATACACATATACATATACGTATACATCATATACATATACATATATACATATTCTGTTTTACCCTAAGCATGGTAAGCTCCCAGAGCTCTGATATGTCTCTCCCAGATTGTAATGGTGACACTATGGGGTCCAATTGGGATGGAGCAATGTGGACATGATTGGGTTTTAGGGACTTCCAGTATCATCTGTGAGTGATCCATGGGGTTTTGGGATGTTGACTTCACAGTGATGGTTCATGACTCTTGTTCTCTAGCATGAAGACAGCAGCCTGGAGTGGACTGAGTGACAGACAGTGTGTTTAGGTCTCTCCTGTGACATCCAGAGCCCTCAGTTCTCTTTAGACAACAGTGTCTGATGTTCCCTGTGATCCTATGGGCTCAATGTGAAGAACTGTGTAGTCCAGCCTGCCCTGCACACCAGGACCCTGTCCCTGCACTGCCTGTGTTCCCTTCCACAGCCAGCCCTCCTGATCCAGCCAAACACTGGGGGACATCTGCATCCTGTCAGCTCCATGCTGCCCTGAGCTGCAGCTCCTCACTTCCACACTGAGAATAAGAATCTTAAGGTGACGTTGATTGTTAACATCTTGACTTGAGCGTTGATTGCTTGTTAATTTCATGGATTGAGAACACTTAGAGTTTTTTTGAAGAAATAATTGGCACATGGAGAACCTTCCAGAATCAGTGTCACTAAGCTGTGTGTATCTGCTTAGACAGGCTGAGGCTGTGGGAGCTGTGTGAATGTGAAGAGGGCTGTGCCCAGGTGGAGTCAGTCTGTTGTTATTTTTGATGGTGTCACTCCTTCCCTGTGTCACCTCTGGGCTCTGCTCTCTCCATCACTATGAAGCACATTCTGAGAGTCTGTGATCACAAGGACACAGGGATGAGAGATGAACAAACAGGTCACATCCTATACCTGAGACCCTGATTCCTGTTCCCAGGATTTTGTGTTACCAGGGATAAAGATCAGAGACCCCAGTGGGGATCCTTCGATGTGCGGGGTGCACAAGATATGTCACACAACATTTCCTTCCATCCATTTGTTTTAGCTACTAATGATGCAGTCTTGTGCTGCCCTTGGCACTCCCTGTTGTGTTTTCTGCTTCCTTTTCTTTTCAGTGTCCTTTCCAGGGTTCTCAGGTATTTGGTGAGATCTGTCTGTTCATCTCTCAGGAACACATTCAGAGCTAAGATAATTGGCTTAGATTTTTCAAAACCTATTTTTAATAAGGGTTCTTCAATGCTTTATCTCCCTTCTAGCCCACCACCCACCAGAAGAAGTGGAACAGAAATGTTATTAGGATAGGAGGAAAGCAGACCTGTTTAGAAATGGGTCTTTTTGGCTGGAGAGATGGCTCAGTGGTTAAGAGCACTGACTGCTCTGCCAGAGGTCCTGAGTTCAATTCCCAGCAACCACATGGTGGCTCACAACCACCTGTAATGTGATTTCAAACACTCTTCTAGTATGTGTCTGAAGACAGCTGCAGTGTGCTCATATAAATAAAAAAAAAAATCTTTAGAAATGAGTCTTTGGAGCAAATCCAGAGTGTGTTGTCAGGGTATCAACAGTTCAGTTCACAAGAATAAGCAAGAGCAGGTCAATCCAGAAGAAGCCGGGAGGCTCATGTCTTTGCTGTTTAGAAGTAGTTCCTTGGGATAAATTTAGTCACCAACTGACAGGATACCAGCACTCCAGGTCAGTGAGTGTCAGGATAGCAGACATGAATCATCAGCTGTGGCACAACCCAGGAGAAACTGCCAGGCCTCCACTAAATCAGCACAAGTCTGCAGGAGATACCAGGTCCACCAGGGATTCCAGAAGGCATTCTCTGGCAAGACTCTCTCAAGGAAGTAAAGATCAGGGAATATGAAGACTTGAGATCAACAGAGCATTGCAAAGTCATCTGTGCAAGCCAGCCATCACTGTCTGTTGTGTCTTATTTATAATTCTTCCAAACATCATGTGTCCACACATGTTGGGAGCCAACTCCTAGCCAAAAGCGCTATCATCTTTGCAGCCATCTCAAGCCATATATCCTGACAAGAGACTTGTTTTCAACAGCCTGCAATAGCTGAGCACACTCTGATAAACATCTTGTTTCTCTCACATATCTTGTTTTGCTGTTTAGTGCTGCCAACTGCAAGGCACACATGGTCTCCTCACTGCTAGCTAGGCACACGTGATATCCACGCTGCAAGGCACATGACATAGTGCCTTCAGCTGTGCTTGTCCACGAGGGCAAGGCACATGGTAAAGGGTATAAATACCCAGGATTTCCTTCCAATAAACAAGACTTGATCAGACTCCCTGTCTTGTCTCCATTCTCTGCATCTCTTGTCCCCACTCTCTCTCTTGCTGGGCCCTGGCCCGCAGACTGGAGCAGCAGAATGGGCTGTTACAAAGTGGCCCCCGGAACGTGAGGCAGCTCCGGTGGCTACATGCACAGGACTCTTGCTTTACATGAGTCTTGCCTCAGGAAAACACCATGTGAGTCTGTCTTAGCAAAACTCCACTTGAGTCTGTGTTGAGCAATGCCCGCGTGAGGGTCTCTGGCGGCGGGACTTGGCTACACCCTCTGCTGATGGAGCCAGCCATGCGCGAGCGAACTATCCACAAGCTATAGACAGCCGCAGGGTCCCAGGAGCAGAGACTCCGGGCACGCGGGACACAGTGCAGGCCAGGGTCCCCGCGGAGGAGATGCACTGCCGATGTTGTCAGGAGAAAGTGTCCCTCGGCCCACTAGAGTGCAGAGAGCACCAGGACGGGCAGAAAAGGTTTCTCTCCCTCTCCCGTCCTGCCTCACAGACAGGGGCACACACGAGTCTTGACTTACACAATGAGTCCAGGATTCCAAGAGACATGTAGAGTTAAAGGAGTCCAGATTTATTGACATGGCGATGTGTCTGGATGGCGTGCTCTCCCAAAAAAATGTCAGAAAGGGTTTGCTTATATTGGAAGTGGGTGGGGCTTCTAGGTAATATGTAATACGAGACCTGTTAGCCTCGCGTGACCTACTGTATGGAGACCTCATGTCAGGTCTCTGGGTTCTGGTGGCGTGGCCGAACACCCAGGATTTCCACAGCCCCACAAGTCTGTATCAGCAGACATATCCAGAAACTTGCACTTCACTCTGCCAATCAGCCCAAGTCTGCAGAAGCAGCAAGAAGCTGCCAGCACATCACCAAAAGATTTTTGGTGCATTTCTCTCTATGGAGTCACAAGAAACAATGACCAATAAACAATGGTAATGTTTACCAATACCATGCAGCCTCATCTACTGTCTGCTGAGTTTTATTTATATTCTTTCTAAACACCATGTGTCCTCTCACATGTCTACTTCAGAAAACATCAGTTCTTTCTTAAGAAACTAGAAGTTTCCACTTCAAGAATAGGAATGCTTCTCTCTCCTGTAACTTGGGTACCGCCCCCTGAACCTTTTATACTCCTGGAATATCTTATATTTTAGCATCTTGTATTATGGAGTTAAGTCCCTGAAGTCTCTTCATCTCCATTCCAAGCTCAGTGAATTTGTGGCTTGCAGCCCTGACTTGGGCATGCAGGATGTGTTAGTCAGCATAGCCTGTCTTAAAGTCCTGTTCATAAGCCTGTTGTTGCTCTGCACTGTGGATGACTCTGTATTGCAGGAGACCAAAGTCCTTGTCATAGGCCTGTAACCATTTAAATTAACTAATATTTATAGCACTAAAGACACCGGCGGCATAAACTGAGGTAAAAACCAGTCAGCTCAACAAGAAAACTATTTTCTTAACCATATAGATGTCTATGACAAGTCTGACTCTACAACTAAACTACCAGCTCTTTAGAAATGTCTATGTGCCGTTCTTCTGAGCAGGTCTACATTTTTGTTGAGTTCCTCCAAACCCAAGAGTTATTCTTACCTCTCTTTCCTAGATTTCTGCTTTACCTATGTCCTGCCAGATGCTTTTCTGTTGTTCCTGCAAGCCCAAAGAGGAAATCCCCATCACTTACCCAGAGCTCCTTCCATAGAGGCTCTTCCAAGCTGAGGGAGAGAGAGAGAGAGAGAGAGAGAGAGAGAGAGAGAGAGAGAGAGAGAGAGAACACTCTGTCTAAGATCCAGTTGCTTATAAAAGAAGTCTAGCTCCTCCCATACACCCTTGGCAGGCTGAGTCATGTCACTATCATGGGATTTTTCTACTCAGGGATTGCTAGCTTTTTTTTTTTAACCCCCTTTACAATGGCATCAGGCCCATGGATTAGAGTGGGAAGTCATTCACAGATTCAGCTGGGTTTTTTCTGAGCTGCAATTTATGTGGGTCTGCTGGGGACTGGATGGGACTGAAGAGGTGTTGCCACTGTGGACAGCTCCTGTGGTGGTGTTTCACCAAGGCTGCAGGCTGAAGCAGGACAGAAGATGTCACTGCCATGGACAGCTCCTGTGATGCCAATAGGCTGAGGAGATGTAGTGGAGCTGCCATTTTAACAGGAGCCCCATTTTGGACAGCTCCTGTGGGACATTTTACTGAGGTGGCCTGTACACTGGAGCAGGAAGAAAGGGCCCACCAGGCAGTGGTGTCGCACGCCTTTAATCCCAGCACTTAGGAGGCAGAGGCAGGCGGATTTCTTAGTTCAAGGCCAGCCTGGTCTACAGAATGACTTCCAGGACAGCCAGGGATACACAGAGAAACCCTGTCTCAAAAAACAAAAACAAAAAAAAGAAGAAAGGGCCTGCTGTCACTTTGACAGATTTAGTGTTAGGGACTACAAGAAGCCAGGATAAACCCTTTCGCCCTAAGCTGTGTCTTGTCAGATATTAAGCCACAGTGACACAAAATGGAACTGTATTGGTTACTTTTCTTTTGCTGTGTCCATGATAAAACATCATGTCCAAGAAAACTTATAGGTATATCTGGGGATTAGGGTCCCAAGGAGTTAAGAGCCCATCAACATCATGACAGCAAACACCAGGCATGGCAGCAGGAACAGCTGAGAGCTCACACCTCCAACCATGCCCCCCAGTGACATACTTCCTCCAGCAAGGCCACACCTCCTAAGCTTCCCCAAACAGCACCAACTGGGAACTAAGTCTTCAAATGACCAAGAATATGGGGGTCATCTTATTCAAAGGACCACAGTAACTAACAAAGACAGTGACACCCAAGCTCTCAGTGCAAATATGGGATCTTCCAGGTGTAGTGCCAGGGAAATGTTAGCAAATCCCCAAAAAACAGACAGGAGCTTATCCAATGTAATCACAGTAAGACCTTTTTATTTGAGCTAGCTCTGGCCAGCACACCACATCATGCAGGACAGGTTTGGTGATGAGGAGCCCTGAATATCTTTTGGGGTAAGGCTCTATGGTAAGCAGCAAGTGGGGAGTAATTTTACATGCATCTAATTGGAAAGATACCATGGCCTTAACATAATTGTCTGGTGCTCGAAGTTATATCATATACTTAATGTCTGCTTCCCTCTGCATTGGTGGTCGTTAGACTGGGGATGGGCTTGTAACCTGGGGATGCATGTTTGATGGGGGAATAACCGGGAGTTACACTGTTTTTGTTGGTGGTTAACCTAGAGACTGGAGCTAAGCTCGGTTTTTT